CGCGAGCCGCGGCCTCCGCGCACGCGCTCTTTGCCCGCGGGCGCCGGGGGTGGGGGGGCCGGCAGCTCCATTTGCAGGGCGGCAAATGCTAAACCTTTCTAATGGGGGGATCCATTAAGAACTTCACAGTAGAAATGTGAAACTATACAACTATGAAGTCACAGAGAATGCAAAATTAGCGGTATGGCACACCATGGGGGCCATGCAGGGAAAAGCAGTTTGCTTCTAATCGTGCTCGGAGCCTTTGCTGATTAAACTGGTGTTGAGCTCATTTGTTATGAGGGCCGGATCTGACATCCCTAAATGTGTGCCATAAAACGTAATGGCAGGTCCCAGAGACAGAAACTGTGTAAAGGACAGCAGCTGGTAAGCTCCGAGGAGTTGGCGTGTCCTCCTCACTGCAAGGCCTCATGGGCTGGGAGGGGGTTGCCAAGGAAAACCCAGGTGGGCGGAGCCAGCGGTGCAGCACCGGGCAAATGCTCCCCTGATGCTTGACTGTTGCGGGCAAAGTTGTTCCAATTCCACCATGGAGTGGCTCCCCCCAGCAGCCTCCTGTTCCATCCCTAGTGGCACTAGCTGCTTGCAGCCGCATAAGAACCCTGGATGGGCCGGTTCTGGCCCCCGGGCCTTATGTCTGACACCCCTGGGCTACAGGGTTTGTCTGCATCCTCTAGTGGGGCTGTGCAAATGAAATGGGAGGCCCCCGGGGCAGGGGTCTCCATTGAGCTCATTTTAATCGCCTCTTTTGAGGCATAATGTTATGCTCATCATGGGGGGTGGTGTGGAAAAAATTCAAAGGCTACAAAGCTTGCAACCTTAAGAGCACTTCGGTGGGAGTGGTCCCCCTTGAACAGGGCTGCTCCTTAGGATTGTTCTCTGATGGTTTATATTCAGAGGAGGGCCTGTGGCTGAGTGGAAGAGCTCCTGCTCTGCATGCCAGAGCCTTGGGTGATTCCAAAGCAAAGTCTGAAATTCAGCAAAGGATTTGGGACATCAGACTTCAGTGCCGTTTAAGTACTGCTGCAAAATACCTTCCCTTCAGGAACAAGAAACTGGTACTATCAGCCTTTCTAGCTAATGTATTGATTCCCAAACACAAGGCAGCTGTCACTCTGGCCTGCCTCCCCCTGTTCTTCCATCCACCCGCTTCATTAGAAGGGCTAGGGTTGTTGTGGCATTTCAGGAGCACTTATGCCCTCCCCCTACGGAGGAAGTCGAGAAACATCTGGACGTGTGCTGCTGCACTGCCCTACTGCAATGGCCTTAGATATATATATAAATATATTTTACACCCATCCTCTGAGAAATCCTGGAAAGTTCAGAGAAATGGTAGTTCTCCTTTCTTCCTGCCGACCTTCAATCAGGAACCTCAAATAGAGTTGCCAGATCGCAGTCTAGATTCCTACGAAAGTGGTTTGCATTAATAACCTACTTCACAGACCATGACATTCTACCAGCACATGTAGGCTATGGCCGAATGGCTTCATTTGTGAGTTGCTTTTTATTACTTTAGTCAGCCTTTATTTTGTCTGAGCACGCTTTCCACAAGCTTGCACTTATATCTTAATGGTACTATAAGACACTCGCATATTAGTGGTAGGATACTTGGGAACAAAACAAAGAGAATAAGGCCTCAGTCAGGCAAAGTTAATTTTGATATATGGATATACTGAAACGTCTTAACTGTATTTGTTTACACATCGTTGAAATAGGGTTGAATGTATTACTGTTTATGCTTATTGGATTTTATGTATATGTGACTTATCTTTAAATTAAAAAGTAGAAAATTTAAAAAAAAAATAGAGTTGCCAGATCCTCTGCGACTGTCAGAGTCCACCAAGGTCCTCAGTATTGATACAGGAATATGGATTTGATTGGTGTGTGTGTGTGTATCCTTATATATAATGCTGTTTGGGGGTGACTCTTTCCTGAACGTTCCACACACTCCAAAATCAGTTGGGTCCCTGATCTGTCACTCAGGAGGTGTGCCAATCCCCTGGCTGCATTGCCTCACTGTGTTGCCTCAGTCCTGCCCACAGAGCTAGCGGCCAGCGTCTCGTGCTCAGTCTGGAGGGAAAGGTTGTCTGTCTATTCCTGTGGCCACTCTGTTCATGTATGTTTTATTCTGCTGGTTCATGACTGTAATCAATGACTGATGGACTGGATTTACATGCAGAAGATCCCAGGTTCAACCCCTGGCCTCTCCAGTTTTAAAGACCAGGCCAGAGATGATGTGCAAGACCTCTGCCAGAGGCCCTGGAAAGCCACCGCCAGTCTGCATTGACAATTCTGCCCTCGATGGACCAGTGGTCTGATTCAGTAGCAGGCAGCTTCATGTGTTCATTATGTTTAAATTGCACTGTACCCCAAGCTAAGCTTTCGACCACCCCAACTGGTACATCCCCAGACTCTGGGGACTGTACCATGTGAAGAGGTATGCAAGGGGTTTGGTCCAAAGCCTGCTTTTTGTACAGAGAGCCAGTTTGGTGTAGTGGTTAAGTGTGCAGACTCTAATCTGGGAGAACCGGGTTGAGTTTGTAAGCAGCTCTGAGACTCCAAGTGAAGGGCGGGGTATAAATCCAATCTCCTCCTCCTCCTCCTCCTCCTCCTCCTCCTTAAAAGTGGGGTGCCGTTCAGGAATCCCCACTGAGGCAGATCATGAGAGGGAGGGTTGCATCAGTGCTTAGTTGTCGTGGCCCTTTCTTACACGCCCAGGGAAGTGCTGATCGCCACTTTGGGGTCAGGAAGCAATTTTCTCCAGGGCAGGGATCCTGAAGGGGTTTTTGGCATCTTCTGGGCCTGGAGCAGGAGTCACTGGGTGGCAGGGGGGAGGTAGTTGTGAATTTCCTGCATTGTGCAGGGAGTTGGACTAGATGACCCTGGAGGTCCCTTCCAACTCTGATTCTACGTTTGTGTTGCAAGGGAGCTAAAGAGTCCAGTTGTGCCCACTCCTTACTCTTCTGTTCTCAGTCATGTGAACACACCTGCTTCCTGGAGGCACATCGGCCTTGGAGCATTTTGTGCAAATGCAAGGGTGTGGGGCAGGCCCCACTGAACGTCACCTCAGAGGGCTATGTTCAGAGCAGCTCTTCCCAGGCCCTGCTCTCTGGGACCCCTGCCTTCAGAGGTCAGGGAATCACAGACAGGGCTTTTCCCATATTTCTTTGCAGAAATATACAACAAGAAGAGAGTTGGGTGCAGAGCTTTACAGGTTCATTCCTATGAACAAATTGTACTGATGTTATTCAGTTTGCTGAAGGAGACAAATAGCACCTGCACCCAGAAGCCTTCCTGCAGTTTAGGATACTAACAGACCAGTCCCGGGAGAGAGGGGAACACAACCAGCAGGTATGCCAGTGTACCCCAAAGTTATCCTGGCACAGCATCCTCCCAACAGTGTGCCATGGCGACCAACTGGATTACCTTAGGAGGTTGACCAGTGGTGTGGTCTCTCAGGACGAGAGCCTTGGCCTCCCCGTTCACCTCTCCTGTCTTGCTTCCAGAACGCCAGGCTTGGTGGCTGTGTCAGTTGTCTCTGGGGTTTGATGGATGGGGATGGCTTCCCACCCTCCTGCTGGTCACCAGCCTCAGCTCCCTTCAGCATGGAAGGGATTCACACCGGGGAGGGGAAAGGGAGACCCCTGAAGCATCCGGTTCATTTGCACAGGTCTGCTTGCATATGGGAGAGGGGTTGCACTTTCCCCCAATCATGGCTGGTATCTTATAAGCCTGCTGCCTATGTCTCTCCCCCCCCCCCCAATTTTAAAAATTTTATTGATGTATATAGAATTTACAATCAACAGGAAGAGTTTTATATACATATATGTCAAAGTCCAATGATAAATCAAGGTTATGAGATCAATAGTAACATTAAACTTAATGTATCTGATAAAACTAATAGTTTTTCATCTAATTATAA